GTCAGATGGAGGGTGTGGGGTGTTGTAGTCAGATGGAGGGTGTGGGGTGTTGTAGTCAGATGGAGGGTGTGGGGTGTTGTAGTCAGATGGAGGGTGTGGGGCTACAGGGTGTTGTAGTCAGATGGAGGGTGTGGGGCTACAGGGTGTTGTAGTCAAATGGAGGGTGTGGGGTGTTGTCGTCAGATGGAGGGTGTGGGGTGTTGTCGTCAAATGGAGGGTGTGGGGCTACAGGGAACTTAGCCCCCTCTACAAAGCAATGCGTGTCACAGTTTCAGCCTGTGTTGTGTAGACGTCCAAGTAGTCCATAAGTAACGGACCAGTACTGTTTACGCAGTATCAATACTAGAACTATGTCTGATAAACGGTGGTTCATTAGAAGTACTCCCAGTATCTCATATTATGTGTAATTTCTACAGTTACACACCTTAAACAACTTGACTCCAAAGCTAAATAAAGTTGAAGGCAAAACATTTTCCTTGCTACTTGCAGACTAGATGTGAAAAACACTTTTGATGTGAGGCCCTGCCATCATGGCCCAGACAATAAAGACGGACGATCCATCGTCCACGTGTGCGAATAGCCAGAGGTAGAGGTGGAGAGACGTGTAAATTGAGAGCAATTTCCTCTGTCCTTGGTGTGTCCTTGGTGGGTGTAGATCGAGTCCCTTTTGAAAGCTTTGTGTTACTCATGGTTTTGTTTTGTTTTTAACAAAAAAAGTTGGTCAAAAAAAGAGAATTTAGATGTTTGGGGAATTGCACTGACAAATTAATATCATCTGTACTGATTAAATCATTAACTCATGTCCTCATTTATATATTCCTCACACTCTTTTCTGATTCAGTTCTGGGATAAAGTTTTTCTACTGACCTCATCACTATGTCTCCCTTAATGGTGATTGTAATATAATAATAATAATAATAGATAGCATTTGTATAGCCCATATCTCCACTCAACAACAAGCTCTATGCGCTTCACAATCTATACTATTACCCCAGCAGACCTGAGAGCATTCTGAAACAACTTCAACGTCCTGGGAAGCATACAGTGCAAGCGGCCATTTATAGGCGCTGAAACACTAACATACTGACAAGATCTTTTGCTGTCTATGGCCGGGTACCCATTCCCGCCTGGGTGAAGTGAGGAAAATTTGTGTAAAGTGCCTTTCCCAAGGACACAACATCGGGCCCGCGTCTGGAACTCCCAAACCCGCAACTTCACGATTACGAGTCCGGTAGCCTAACCACTAGACCACCAACGCCACACATTTAGGATAGACAGGTCTCCCTTATTGGTGACGGTACATAGTATACTTATATATATATATAGGACAGACAGGTCTCCTTATTGGTGACGGTACATAGTATACCTATATATATATATATATATTATATATAGGACAGACAGGTCTCCCTCACTGGTGGTGGTACATAGTATACCTATATATATATAGGACAGACAGGTCTCCCTCACTGGTGGTGGTACATAGTATACCTATATATATATAGGACAGACAGGTCTCCCTCACTGGTGGTGGTACATAGTATAC